CTCATTATCGCATTCTCTAACTGTTGAGCTTGTCCCTTCGCCAAAATTACGAACATGCGAAGTGGACGTACCCTCAACATCAGCCACTCCCCCGTAAAAAGGGGCAACATCCTCAAACTGCGTAACCTCTGTAGGTGCCTGCGTAACCTGCTTCAACTCTAAATGCAAATACACATAGGAGAAAGGAGAAAAATTATATATCCAATCAACAGCACTATTAGTATTCAGGTTTCCAATATTCCACGAACCATCGCGTTCGCTACTCAGTAAACTAATCTTCTCAATTATCCAACCATCTCGATGAAACCCAAAATTTTCATAAAGAATATCTACCAATTCTTTAAATGATAGCTTCTCCCCAATGCTAAATGAACCATCCGGAGAGTTTTTAAAATCTGAAAAATCATATAACAAGTCCTTCGGAACATTCCAATACACATTAACAAAGTATGGTCCGGTAGACGCCATTTATACCTGTTGCAAAAAACAATTCTTCCCAATTACAACAACACATAATTTCCCAAAAAATTCAATTATTCTTTTACTCAAATCAAGATAAATATTTTCAATTAATACTACAATAACAAAAAAAAATCACCAATTTTTTTATAAAATAACTCTCCAAAACCCTAATTCTCAAAATCAAACTATACAATACAAATTATCCAATTTTCGCAAAAATTCTCAACATACAACGAATCCCATCATCCAAGAACAATGTATAATCATTTAAGACAACTATTAAATCAACAATAAATCTTTTCTAAACTATACTCATCAAAACCAACAAATATTTCTTACAAAATTCATAAACATATAAAACAAATATGTAATTACATTACATTAAAATAACAACTAACCTCTTCTCCGAATCGATTGATTGTTAAAAGCTTCTTTTTTTTTTTATTTTGAGGTGAATAATGGATAGGAAGTGAATTTTTTTTTTCCTTCGCTCGCGCAGCTTCAGTGACTTTCAGTTCCGCAGAAATGGAGGAGACCCGATTTTTTTACTTATATTTTGTTAAAAATCGTATTTTGCAAATACGGTTTACATTTTTTATTTTCCTAAAAAACGTATTTCTTGCATACGTTTTATATTTTTTTATAATGAAAAACGTATTTCTTTTATACGTTTTATCTTAATTTAATTAATTAATATTTGCAACCGTATTCATGAAATACGTGTTATAAAACGAAAATTGATTTTTTTTATAAAACAAAAATTGATTTATTTAGGCTTTAGGGTTTCCAATTTAAATTTGGGGTTTTTTATAAAACGTATTTCATGAATACGTTCTTAAATTAAATTGTATATATACATTTTTCGCAATATGTTTTCTAAAAAATTAAACAAATTTAATTTAAGGACGTGTAACCTAAATACGTTTTTCATAAAAAAAAATAATTAGAAAAACGTATTTTCTGAATCCGGGTTTTTGATTTTGGGCTACCCACTTTTTTTTTTTTTGTTTTTTGTCTACTTATTTTTCGTTTTTCTTTTTTAAATAAATCACCCCTTATCTTTACGGTAAACCCCATTGAGCCTCAAGCCAGTAAACAGTAATTAATTAGTCCCCAGCGCCTCTCTTCCGTGGAAGCTTGGAGCTGCTGCCACAACCATGAGCACGACTGAGCCAAGCCAGTGGCAGCTACATCGCGGCCAGTACCTCGGCGAAATCTCAGCCCTATGTTTCCTCCATCTACCCCATCGCGCCTCATCTCTCCCTCTCCTCCTGGCCGGTTTTTTCCCAACTCAAGCGCATACACAATTTTTTATAGCTTTTGCAAGCCTGTGATGAATTCATGCTGACCTTATGTTCCCTTGCACAGGAACTGGTTCTCAGATTCTAGTATATGATTTGGAGAGTGGAGATATAATAAGGTCGTTTCAAGTGTTTGAAGGGATTCGTGTTCATGGAATCTCTGTGGGGAATTCTCACAAACACTTTCCGTGCACTTGTCCTGTCTTTCTGGTTGCTGTCTATGGAGAAAGGAAAGTGAAGCTCTTCACCTTGAAAATTGTATCAGATAGACCTACTTTAGATATGGAACTGACTCTTATGCACTCACTGCCGAAGTTTGGCCATTGGGTTATGGATGTATGCTTCTTGAAGGTTAAAGTGATTGGCGTCGCTATGTGATTATTGCTTTTCACTGAAATTTCTGTTGGCCTTTTCGGATAAGTTTACTTTAAATATTTATTTGTATATTTTGTGTGCAGTAGGATGGTACAACAGCAAGTGAGGGTGCTCTTTATCTTGCTGTTGGATGTAGTGACAACTCTTTGTACTTCTGGGATATTTTGGGAGCTAGTATGTTTTCTGAAGTTAAAAGTGCAGGTCAGATGCTTGCATTATATTTACTTCCTCACCATTCTTTTATGCAGGAAATGATATTTTATACATTAATGTGTTGGATTGGTCAAGAATAAAAATTAATGAGGATCACTGATAGAAAAGAAGCATGTCATGGGCAAAAATCGTGGATTGTTTATAGTCGCAGGCCAAATCCAAGGATCAGTCAGATAAGATTTAAATTGAAGGGGCTGATTTTATGGATCTAAATAGCACCAATCATGGAAGAGAATCTTACCTAATATATAGTAGTATAGCTAATTATAAATAAAGCCTCCTTAGATGAGGAAGGCATCAGAAATCATTATTCCTATATTAGTTCCTTGGGACAGGGAGTTTATTCCTGTTGGTCTTTACCTTAGCTTTTTTTTTCCTGTTGATCATCTTGCAAAGCATTCATTTAGTTAATAATAAAACTCTTCCTTTGTTTCTTGGTTCTTTTCTCTAACAAATTGGTCCGACCTGCCGTGCGAGGAATGACACGAATGGAATCCCGTGTTGAAACGTTAGAGAAGAACCAAGTTGCTGTAGGTGAGGAACTCACCAACTTGCGGAACAACATGGACAGCCGATTCAATACACTTGAAACGGCAATATCCAAGATCACCGATCTATTGAGTAATAACAGTAGCAGCAACAACAACTTTTCAGAGAACATCTTTTCAGAGAGCAATACATCCAATCACCACAAATCTGCTCTTCATGCCAATGTTTTCGACGAGTTAAAATCCACATCGAAACACATTGATCTTTCGTGTTTTGATGGAACCGATCCTATTGGATGGATTGCGCGTGCTGAGCAATTTTTTCTGGTGCACCACATGAAGGAAAACTTCAAAGTTGCCTCTGCATTCATCTGCATGGAAGGAGCAGCACTCCATTGGCTTCGATGGCTCCAGCAACAATCTCCAACGATTACCTGGGATCAATTGAAGGAAGAACTCGTTGATCAATTCGGCGGGGACTTAGCAGCAAGTCCCAGCGAACGCTTGGCTGCCTTACACCAAACAGGATCTCTGGATGATTACGCCAACGAATTTCGAGCGAGAGCAGCCCAAGTCCCAGGCCTGGATTCACAACTTCAGCTAGGGTTTTTCTTACATGGACTCAAGGAAGAAATAAGGGTCCGCTTGCGCCCATATGATGTGCTCGATCTACGAACAGCCATGAAAGTTGCTCGGTCAGTTGAGCGAGAATTGGATTTCCTAAATTCCAGATCTGGAAGATTTACTGGGTATGGTTTGGGCTTCCAATCCAGGCCCATTAATCCATCTCGTTTTGAACCACCAAAACTAAACATCACCTCAACAACCGGCCCAAATAAGAATTCTGCAGCCCAGTACAAGCCCAATGATCACTTCAGACTACTTCAAGGCGGCACAGGTTCCTCCTCTTCACAAATACCGCGACATAACACAACAACACAAAAAAGTAGAGTGGCACGCCAATACTCCCATCAAGAATATTTGGACATGCGTGCAAAGGGGTTGTGTTTTCGCTGCAAGCAACCGTACAGCCCGATGCATGATTGCCCTCAAAAATCATTGCGCGCTCTCATCGCAGCAGAAGACGAGAACACTGATGTTATCTCCGACTTCGGACTAGAAGAATCACAACAACATCAAGCAGAAATCAGTGAAGCTCAATTCCATTTTCTAGATCTACCTTTGACGGCGATAGGTGGAATAGATGGACCGCGAACAATGAAATTTTCAGGTCATGTCTACGGTGAACCAGTGACTATTATGGTAGATAGTGGGGCAAGCCACAACTTCATCTCAACAAAACTTGCTCAGAAAATTCCCCAGCCAATAGAGCAGACAGTTCGCTTTGGGGTTCGTTTAGGAGATGGCAGTCGAGCAACTTCAACAGGGAAGTATAGCAATTTACCAATTCAACTTCAATCAATCACGATATCATTAGATTGCTATATATTTCCTCTTAAAGGTATTGACATCATTCTCGGCGTGGCATGGCTCCAAACATTAGGCGATATCAAAGCGAACTGGACAAAAATGAGTATTGAATTTTTGCGGGAAAATGAAGAGATTTGTCTGTTGGGGGACCCGTCTTTATCACGTGCCCCTATCTCTTTGAGCTCATTGCTACAGATGGAAGATGACATTGAATACTGCCTCTTGCTCTGGCAGATTACATCATCAACGGTAACTTCATCAACAGAGACCTCGGCCCTCAAGTCCTCAAGCGCTCAGGTCCAGGAATTGGAACTAATATTGCAGCAATACGGTACAATTTTTGACGAACCCCAAGGACTTCCCTCTGAAAGGAGACACGATCATCGCATCACCCTAAAATTGGGAGCCGCCCCAGTGAATGTGAAGCCCTACCGATATAGCCATCATCAAAAGGATGAAATTGAACGCCTTGTGAATGAAATGCTATTCGCGGGGATAATCCAACCAAGTTCCAGCCCTTTTTCCAGCCCAGTTCTACTTGTCAAAAAGAAAGACGGAAGTTGGCGATTTTGCGTCGACTATCGTGAACTAAACAAGGCCATTGTTCCCGATAAGTACCCAATTCCCATGATTAATGATATGCATGATGAACTCCATGGAGCCGCTTTTTTCTGATGCCTTGTTCCAACATCAAGTGGATAAAAAAAAAAAAAAAAAAACAGGAATAAACTCCCTGTCCCAAGGAACTAATATAGGAATAATGATTTCTGATGCCTTCCTCATCTAAGGAGGCTTTATTTATAATTAGCTATACTACTATATATTAGGTAAGATTCTCTTCCATGATTGGTGCTATTTAGATCCATAAAATCAGCCCCTTCAATTTAAATCTGATCTGACTGATTCCTTGGATTTGGCCTGCGACTATAAACAATCCACGATTTTTGCCCATGACATGCTTCTTTTCTATCATTGCCACCCCCTAAAGAATTGGCCTTGTCCACAAGGCTGCAGTTTGGAAACTGCCTCATAAAATCCGAAAGATCAACCCAAGTTGCTTCCTCCGCAGGCCGACCTTCCCACTAAACCAAGACCTGCTCCCTGCCGAGCTGCTTTCGAGCATCCAGTATGTCTTGTGGGGTGTAACTTGTTTCTTCTACCGCCAAGGCTTCAGGTAAATCCTTGGTGACGTCATGCTGCCTGTTAAGATTCTTAAGCTGGGAGATGTGAAAAACTGGGTGTATACGTGCCCCATTGGGTAATTCTAACTTGTAAACCACGGGGCTCAACTTTCGAAGAATGCAATATGGGCCATAATACCTTGCAGCCAGCTTCTGATTGACACGATTCGCCATAGAGGTCTGGCGATGGGGCCGAAGTTTCAAAAGAACTTGATCTCCCTCATGAAATTCTAAAGGTCATCTCTTGCGATTGGCACTGTTAATCATCCGCTGTTGCGCTTTAGTGAGGTTAAAGTGCAGCTGCTTGATCAATTCTGCCCTATCATTATGCTCTTCCGCAACGGCTGCAACCTTGAATTCCCCTGGCATAAACTGATGCAAAGTGGGTGGTGGCCTGCCTTACACACATTCAAATGGAGTTCGGCCTGCTGCCCAATGAAAGCTGCTATTAAACCAATATTCAGCCCAATGCGACCAACGACCCCATTGCTTGGGTTGTTCTGAAGCGAAACATCTCAAGTATTGCTCCACGCAACGATTTGTTACTTCAGACTGTCCGTCAGTTTGCGGGTGGTAGGCTGTGCTCATGCGAAGTTTGGTGCCTATTTTAGGGAAAAATTCCCTCCAGAAATTGCTCAAGAAAATTGGGTCTCGATCACTGACGATGGATCGTGGGACTCTGTGTAGACGCACAATTTCTTTAGCAAACAATTTGACTAAGGTTCGGGCGGTGAAAGGATGTCGAAGACCAATGAAATGGGCATATTTGCTAAGTCGATCGACTACTACCCAGATGCAATCAAACCCATTTGATCGCGGTAAACCCGTGATGAAGTCCATTGATATATCTTCCCAGATGTTATTAGGAATAGGGAGCGGGTTGAGCAATCCAGCTGGTGATAATGTTTCATACTTATACCTTTGGCAAATTAGACACTCAACAACATATTTTTGTACTTGTTTCATCATGCCTCACCAATAAATGCTAGCAGCCAATCGCCGATATGTACGGTACGCACCTGAGTGGCCTCCTGTTGGAGTGGAATGAAACTCGTCTAAGAGTTGTTGCACCCATGGTGAAGTAGCAGGAATGACGATTCGACCTTTGTAAAATAGTCTTCCATGAACAAGCTGATATGGTGGCTGGCTATTTTGATTCAGTCGAAGTTGGTCGATGATTGCCCCTAACTCCGCATCCTCTAGGACGACTGAATCAAGTTTATCCCAGTCAATCCATGTGGGAACAGAAATGGCTGCCAAATCCTTGTCCTCAAATTGCCTGGATAAACCATCTGCTGTTTTATTTGTTACACCCGGTTTGTAGGTGACCTCAAAATCATAACCCATGAGTTTTGCCAACCAATTTTGCTGAGAAGGAGTTGTAATTCGTTGTTGCAAAATGTACTTTAGGCTCCGATGGTCAGTGCAAATTTCAAATCTTCTGCCGATTAAATAAGGCCGCCAATGTTGAATTGCCAAAACCAATGCCATTAACTCTTTTTCGTATGCCGATTTGGCCAACACTCTCCCCGAGAGTGCTTTGCTATAATATCCAATAGGCCGCTGCTCTTGCATCAGGACTGCTCCCACACCTTTGCCTGAAGCATCACATTCAATCACAAAACTTTTATTGAAGTCAAGCATTACCAGCACTGGAGAAGAGGTGATGGCATTTTTCAATTTTTTTCAAAAGTGACATGTGCTCGCTCTGTCCATTTGAAGTCCCCAACCTCCTTTTTAAGTAATTCTGTGAGAGGTCTTGCGATCTGGCCATATTCTTTAATAAACCGCCTATAATATCCCGTGAGGCCTAGAAATCCCCGTACGCCTTTAACTGACTTAGGTTGCGGCCACCTAATAACACTGGATATTTTACTTGGATCCATTGACACGCCAGATCTTGAGACAACATGTCCCAAATACTCAACGGATGTCTTCCCGAAATGACACTTCTTTTTATTAGCCTTAAGTTGATTGCCGAGCAAAACATTGAAGACTATTTGAAGGTTTTGTATATGCGCCTCCCATGTTTTGCTGTAAACGAGGATATCGTCAAAGAAAACAAGCACAAATTTCCTCAAATACGGACGGAAGATATCGTTCATGAGGCCTTGAAACGTGGCTGGGGCATTTGTCAACCCAAATGGCATGACCAAGAATTCATAGTGGCCGGAATGTGTTTGAAATGCTGTCTTGGCGATGTCTGAGGGATGGACCCGAATTTGGTGATACCCTGCTTTGAGGTCCAACTTGGAGAAAAAAGCGGCTCCATGGAGTTCATCAAGCATATCATTAATCATGGGAATCGGGTACTTATCGGGAACAGTGGCCTTGTTTAGTTCACGATAGTCGACGCAAAATCGCCAACTTCCGTCTTTCTTTTTGACAAGTAGAACTGGGCTGGAAAAAGGGCTGGAACTTGGTTGGATTATCCCCGCGAATAGCATTTCATTCACAAGGCGTTCAATTTCATCCTTTTGATGATGGCTATATCGGTAGGGCTTCACATTCACTGGGGCGGCTCCCAATTTTAGGGTGATGCGATGATCGTGTCTCCTTTCAGAGGGAAGTCCTTGGGGTTCGTCAAAAATTGTACCGTATTGCTGCAATATTAGTTCCAATTCCTGGACCTGAGCGCTTGAGGACTTGAGGGCCGAGGTCTCTGTTGATGAAGTTACCGTTGATGATGTAATCTGCCAGAGCAAGAGGCAGTATTCAATGTCATCTTCCATCTGTAGCAATGAGCTCAAAGAGATAGGGGCACGTGATAAAGACGGGTCCCCCAACAGACAAATCTCTTCATTTTCCCGCAAAAATTCAATACTCATTTTTGTCCAGTTCGCTTTGATATCGCCTAATGTTTGGAGCCATGCCACGCCGAGAATGATGTCAATACCTTTAAGAGGAAATATATAGCAATCTAATGATATCGTGATTGATTGAAGTTGAATTGGTAAATTGCTATACTTCCCTGTTGAAGTTGCTCGACTGCCATCTCCTAAACGAACCCCAAAGCGAACTGTCTGCTCTATTGGCTGGGGAATTTTCTGAGCAAGTTTTGTTGAGATGAAGTTGTGGCTTGCCCCACTATCTACCATAATAGTCACTGGTTCACCGTAGACATGACCTGAAAATTTCATTGTTCGCGGTCCATCTATTCCACCTATCGCCGTCAAAGGTAGATCTAGAAAATGGAATTGAGCTTCACTGATTTCTGCTTGATGTTGTTGTGATTCTTCTAGTCCGAAGTCGGAGATAACATCAGTGTTCTCGTCTTCTGCTGCGATGAGAGCGCGCAATGATTTTTGAGGGCAATCATGCATCGGGCTGTACGGTTGCTTGCAGCGAAAACACAACCCCTTTGCACGCATGTCCAAATATTCTTGATGGGAGTATTGGCGTGCCACTCTACTTTTTTGTGTTGTTGTGTTATGTCGCGGTATTTGTGAAGAGGAGGAACCTGTGCCGCCTTGAAGTAGTCTGAAGTGATCATTGGGCTTGTACTGGGCTGCAGAATTCTTATTTGGGCCGGTTGTTGAGGTGATGTTTAGTTTTGGTGGTTCAAAACGAGATGGATTAATGGGCCTGGATTGGAAGCCCAAACCATACCCAGTAAATCTTCCAGATCTGGAATTTAGGAAATCCAATTCTCGCTCAACTGACCGAGCAACTTTCATGGCTGTTCGTAGATCGAGCACATCATATGGGCGCAAGCGGACCCTTATTTCTTCCTTGAGTCCATGTAAGAAAAACCCTAGCTGAAGTTGTGAATCCAGGCCTGGGACTTGGGCTGCTCTCGCTCGAAATTCGTTGGCGTAATCATCCAGAGATCCTGTTTGGTGTAAGGCAGCCAAGCGTTCGCTGGGACTTGCTGCTAAGTCCCCGCCGAATTGATCAACGAGTTCTTCCTTCAATTGATCCCAGGTAATCGTTGGAGATTGTTGCTGGAGCCATCGAAGCCAATGGAGTGCTGCTCCTTCCATGCAGATGAATGCAGAGGCAACTTTGAAGTTTTCCTTCATGTGGTGCACCAGAAAAAATTGCTCAGCACGCGCAATCCATCCAATAGGATCGGTTCCATCAAAACACGAAAGATCAATGTGTTTCGATGTGGATTTTAACTCGTCGAAAACATTGGCATGAAGAGCAGATTTGTGGTGATTGGATGTATTGCTCTCTGAAAAGATGTTCTCTGAAAAGTTGTTGTTGCTGCTACTGTTATTACTCAATAGATCGGTGATCTTGGATATTGCCGTTTCAAGTGTATTGAATCGGCTGTCCATGTTGTTCCGCAAGTTGGTGAGTTCCTCACCTACAGCAACTTGGTTCTTCTCTAACGTTTCAACACGGGATTCCATTCGTGTCATTCCTCGCACGGCAGGTCGGACCAATTTGTTAGAGAAAAGAACCAAGAAACAAAGGAAGAGTTTTATTATTAACTAAATGAATGCTTTGCAAGATGATCAACAGGAAAAAAAAAGCTAAGGTAAAGACCAACAGGAATAAACTCCCTGTCCCAAGGAACTAATATAGGAATAATGATTTCTGATGCCTTCCTCATCTAAGGAGGCTTTATTTATAATTAGCTATACTACTATATATTAGGTAAGATTCTCTTCCATGATTGGTGCTATTTAGATCCATAAAATCAGCCCCTTCAATTTAAATCTGATCTGACTGATTCCTTGGATTTGGCCTGCGACTATAAACAATCCACGATTTTTGCCCATGACATGCTTCTTTTCTATCATTCTGATAGAGATGCCAAAAATAGGGTTGAAAAGCAATGGGTTGTCTACTCAAGGAAAGGGAAAGCTGGAAAGGAATAAATGAGATATGGGAATAAAATCAGCAATGCAATATGGGAAGCATGAATTAGGGGATTTAGATAGATTCCTGTAGAGAATGGAAAGCTATCAATTAGTTATCTTACCTTATAATTATTATCTATTACCTTATATGAATAATAGCAATAGTCTTATTAAAGGGAGTTAGGAAGTGAGAAGGAGTCATCAGGAAGAAATAATCTTAATAGCTAGGCTATTGGGCAAGTTATCTTGCTGGGAAGTTTTATACTTCTGATCATTGTTCTCCCTTTCATTTATAATAAAGTTGTCTATTCATTCCCCTTTTTTTTAATTATCTGATTCTCTGATCCTTTACTCCTATCACAATCACTCTGATAATTATCAATGGATTTAGCGTGAAACAGGAGTATCTTAAATTCTCAATAGCTAACTACATGTGTGAGCTCATACATATTATTTTGCTATAATTTTGTTCTTGAATATTGTTTCTTCATCTTATATGCTTTATTTTAAATCTTAAAATGTCTGTTCTACCATGAAATTTGCAGAAAAGTGCCTATTATACTCCATGAGTATGTTAGGAAATGAAATTGAATCTCTCCGAATTGCATCTGGTACTATCTTCAATGAGGTAACTAACAAACATTATATTTTCATTTTTCTTAAAGGGGTTTCTCTTATTCTTCTTTATACTCGATTAATCACTCTTTTTGGGTAGTCACAGGTTCCTTTCCATACTTCTGCAGTCTCATCGATTCCATACTATTGTTTTCTGCTTGCATTATACTCTTAGATTCAATGAATGGTTAATCATCATTTATTTAGTAGTCTTCGTGTCCGATGGTCAGTATTGCTTATAGTGGACTCTAATATTGATTTTTTTTTTTTTTTTTAAAAAGAAATTTCAAAATACAACTCTTTTTTAAGCTTCCAATTTATGAACCAGATGTATTCACTAAATGAGGCTTTCATTTTGAATAACAATTATATTTCAAACTGTACTCAGACATTGCTGTAAGCATTTCATTGTAAAAGGTGAGTTGAGTTTTGTGTAACATTAAATTGACCCTTGATCAATTGAATAAGATGATTTAAATGTGGGGAAATGGGTCAAGTACACCCTTGATGTTTGGGGTGAGATACACATATGCCATAAAGTATTTCGAAGTCCAAATGCATTGTTTAAGTTAGGGAAAAGAGTCAATTATCCCCTTGATGTTTGTTGTTAGATATGAATATGCAATTGGAGTATTGTAGGTACAAATATACCATATACATATATAAGGTTAAAAAATTACTAAAAATAGATTAAACTTTCCCGCAAAAAAAGTTTTATTACTAAATAAGGATTTTTAAAACATTCATTTTTTTTTTTTGTTTCATTTGGGTAAATTTATTCTTTATCATCCGTGGTGAGATTATTATTTTTATTTTAGGTAATGTGATATTAGTAATTTGATATATATATTGATTAAACTTTCCAAAAAATTTCAATCAATTATTTCATTCTACCTAATCTAATTTTATTTTTATTTTTAGTGATTTGATACTAATAATTTGATAGTAAACTTTCCAAAAAAAATCTAATTAATTATTTTATTTCTACTTAATCTAGAATTTTATTTGTTTTGACAATTATAAATAACATATATGGATATAGATTATCACTTAAAAGATAATTATTTGTAAATTATTTTCTTCTTAAAAACTTAATAACATTTTTATTTGTTATGCACTTTTTTATATCATATTAAATTAACCTTCCATTTACGATCATTGATTTGACACTGTAGAAATAAAAAATAACTATTTCTAAAGTATTAATAAGTTTATTAGTTAATATTTCATATAAAAATTAAACTTTAAATTTATTATTTAATAATGATTTAGAAATAATGAATTTAGTCTAAAGTTATTTGATACAATAAAATATAAATGTATATACTAAAAATTGTTTAGTATAAATTATAAAATAATCTAAAATAGTTATTGCTATGTTTATCCCACCTAGTTTAAAAAATTAATGCAATAAAAATGTAAAACTATAAGTAAATAATTATTTCAAGGATCAAATATATATGATATTAAAATGATAAACCAACGAGTCATCTGTCGAACTATCATCTAAATTATTAAATTACAAAGAATCAAAACATTTATAATGTATATTATTATAAATTATGATAAGCATTTTGTATATGGCGTAATGTCCTAGAAATGGTAAGTATGGGCTTAAATTTTTATTAGATTGGTATTGTTGTCCGATAAGGTATCGGGAATTTAAGTTTTCTTGGTATGAAAGGTTATATGTCAGATTAGTTATCTTTAATGCTATATTTATACCTAAAAATACTTAAAGGGTATATTTACCCCTAACAACAAACATTAAGGGATAATTCACCTTTTTTCCAACTTAAATGATGTATTTGTACTTTAAAATACGTTATGGGCATATGTGCACCTTACCCCAACCATTAAGGGTGTTTGACCCTTTTCCCTTTAAATTTGTACAAGATCATTTCATGTTCCATAACCATTGTGTTGCTTAGCTTACTTGTTCACTTTGACATGTAATATATGTGTCAGTGTGATCTTATGCTATCTATTTGATGTCTGTGACTTGTGGCTGTACTGAATTATAAATTAGGTATTTTTGAGAAATTAGCGGTTCTTGTTATTCTTGGTTTATGGGAATGTTCAGGAATCATTTCAGCTTTTTTGCTTCTTGGCTAAGTTGATTATTGTATATATTTTCTGCTACCACACCCAGTGGCATTTTTATGAGAAAATAAAAGGTTGATGCCTGGAGAACTGTTTTGTTTTTTTTGGCAGATAGTTGTCTGGAAAGTGGTTCAAAACCATGCTATTATTCATGAGGAAGACCATGCATGGCTGGCTAGTGATGGGGACAGCCTTCATCTTGATTCCAAGTACAAGGATGCTCTTATAAGTAGGCTTGTAGGGCATGAAGGTTCAATCTTCCGGATTGCATGGTTCTCTAGTGGGTTGAAACTAATCTCTGTTTCCGATGACCGCAGGTAAATATTACTTTCATACACATAGTGTAGTTGACTTCGCCCAGTAAAGCCAATGAATCCTAGATTAGTAACTCATTGTGGGCTGCCACTTATTCATTGGTTCAGTGCTCGTATTTGGGAACTTGAGGCAGAGAACGAAGTTTCATGCAAAAGTGTGCCGGGCAGCGTAAATCACTTGGTCGGCCCTGTTCTATTTGGGCACAATGCCAGAATCTGGGATTGCTGTATATTTGACTCTGTAAGCTTTCCTTTTCTTTTCTTGCTTGTGTTTTCATATTTACATTAGATGCAGAAGGGCACATGTTAATTCATGGCAAAAAATTGGATGGTGTGATTTCTTGTTTGTGGCAGAAGGCTATGCTTTCATGTACCACAGATTTTCGAATTATTTATTTCCTTTTGACATGAAACACAAAGATTGTACTAATAGTTTTATTAACTTATTTTAGTCACTTAATAACCTACTCAGGTAATTATCACTGCTGGTGAGGACTGCACATGCCGTGTTTGGGATCATGATGGAAGGGAACTAAATGAGATCAAGGAACATATGTAAGTATCTATGCTGGAAAGATTTTCACCAAGTTGTGGATGTTGGTAATTTCTTTTAGTTCTAGGGTGTTCAGGTTATTCATCTACTGATACTTTTTCCAAAGCCTATAAAGTATAAACACGACAAATTTTCTTTTTGTATTTATTTGGCAGGATGTATTGTAAGTATTATTTTATGGATATTCTAGTATGTGAAAGTGATTTCACAGTTTTGTTATTGTTTCCGTTTTGGTCTGTGATATGGTTTTCCCTGGCCGCATGAGTTCAAATTGGTAACTTTGTAGCTAAATCTCACACTTGTACCATCTACTATAATCTTTCGCAGTGGAAGGGGTGTGTGGAGATGTTTGTATGATCCAAGTTCTTCACTTCTTGTCACTGCTGGTTTTGATTCGGCAATTAAAGCTCACCAGTTTCATGCATCTTTCGAAGGATTAGAAGGAAATGTGGCACCAGATGATTTCAGTAACAGTAAGGAAGTGTTTGCTATTTCTTTACCCAGTTTGTCAGAGCATGGTGGGCCTATGGACAGGTAATTTAGTGGTTGCCCTACTTTCATCGACTTTTTGTTTTTTATTTTACAGATGCCTTTTATTTGTTTAAAACTACACCAAAATGGTTGTGATGAGGTGTTTATTTATTCACATGCTTCTTCATGGTAGGCTAATTTAAGTAGTCAAACATTTTTTTCTGTGTGCTCAATAACATCAGGCAACATATTAATAGAAGTGCAACCTCAAGGTTCCCGTTTCATCTGATACATCTGCATCTTGCTAGTGTTGGTACCGCTGTTTCATTCAGATGAAGAGTTCTTGTACTATCGACTATGTTACAGAAGTGATAAATGAGGCTGAGTAGAACTCATCCCCAAAAGTTAGCTCAATGGGAGAGGATGCAAAAACCACACTTTAAAACACAATAGCGGCCTAGTAACTAATCGATGTGGGATAATTGTAACTTGTAACACCCACTCTCACCCGTAGTGTGCCAATCCAAATGGGTCGGGTCCAAACCAAGCATCGTCTTCAAACAAACAACTTGAGTGCTCTGATACCATGATAAATGTGCCTGGGTAGGATTCATCCACAAAAGCTAGCTCAAAAGGAGAGGGTGTCAAAGCCACTCTTATTAACAATAACAGCCAAATAATTAATCGATGCGAG